TAGAGTTCTCCAAAGGATCATAATTCCTCACAGTAAGTTGATGTAAATATCCATACAGGTCAGCCTGTGTCCAGTTATATACTAACATTTTCCTAATGTTGTTCAGCCCTAGTCTTCATAAATATTCACTACTGTTCTCTATCAAACTAAGGCTTTACGGAGAAGCAATATTTACTCAGAGAATAAATTATATTAAATTATATCAAGGTAGACTGTACAAATTAGCTGACTTCTGAAGATACTTTTTCAAGGCATTGTAAACAATTATAAAAACAGAGGTAAAATCATTAGGCATTTGGGCCAGTAGCCCACAGAGATGCAGAGATCTATTTTGCTGTTTTTTATGAATCAAGTTGTAGATTTTGCTGTATGGTTAAATTAAAGTTTGTGTAACAACAGAATGTAAAACGAAATTACCATGTGTTGATAAACTCAACTTGTATATATACATATATATATATATTATAGTGTTTATAAACAACCTTATATGTCATCTGTGTCACTCACAAATGCAGCAGTTGTACTATCATATAATGTCATATCATTATTCCTTCCTTTCTGTTGAGTGTAGAAACAAACTGCTTTGCATTTACAAGCTACCAGGCACCCAGACATTGGCCGTACTGAGGATGATACCAGCTGGTCTGGTCCACACTGAGTGAACAAGCAGAAAAAAAAGAAAGAAAAAAAAAAACGATATGCGCGCGTGAATGATGCGCGCTCCCATACCTTCCGGTCTATCAAAGTAGGTATAGCTGATAGTTCAAATTCAGGATGCAACTTTCCAAACAGCTAGAAGGGAAAGTGCCGAATTGTAGCGTTTTTCTTTAAGGTTTTAAATCACACCGCTGGTAAAATACGCTGTAATTTTCGGTAAAACAGCAGAAAGACTCACCTTTGGTTTTTCATCAGCCATGGTCACTCTTTTGGCGCTTCTCTACGCTGCCACACAAAGAATACGGGTACGCGCACGTACTCGTGCCCGTTTAAATAAGTCTGACCGACGTGCGCGACCTTGTGTCAGTGCGCGTTCACCTCACCCTGCATTTAGTGGCTAGGGGTAGTCACGAGGTTTAAAGCGCAGTCATGGACATGGGCGGGAGAGTCCCACATGCGCGTTACAGAGGTTCTGCTTCGCGTGCACGCGCACAGCGATGTTTTCCCCCGCTTAATTTCGCTTTCTCGGTTTATATGCACAGATTTGCCACAAAATACGTTTCATCACGCTGCTAGTCACACATATGTGCTGTAGTACCCAGTCCAAGTCATTAGGCAGCGTCATAAATGTGTAGGGAATAGCAACATGACGTTATTCTTGTTTTCACACTGTGTTCTAATGGCCATTTTGTTCCACCTTCTAAACAAGATCTGAATGATCAACTTAAAGCAACACTCTTATATGTCCACATCTATCGCAAATTTGTTCTTTTATTAATAACTTAACATACACTAAGCTTTGTATGCCCTATCTTGAAGTTGGTACAGACTCTTTGGAACTTTAGTATCACGATTATCTGCGTTGCCGCTTTGCGGGATAAAAAAAAAATTATATATATATATATATATTTATATATATATATAGCCATCCCCGAGGACACGATCGATAGGAAAAATCAGGCATGAGAAAGGCAGCCTTGACGCATGCGCACCGGCGGCTTATTAGGGAAAGAGAGGCGCGGAAAAGGGACAACACTCCACATGTGTTTAATAGCATGTATAGCTGAATTATTCGCAATTTAGACACGTAACAGATCGGAAGCACTGTTCCCTGATGGAGGAAGTAGACGTCGAGCCGACGGTCACTGTAAGTTATCTTTGTAGGTTAGTTTTTTCCTACTCATTTCAGCCAGATAGCATTTTTGTGCTAACAAGCTAGCTAGATATCGACACTGTTTTGGATTCAGGCAGTAAACACGAATAGCAATGGGTGTTAACATAACTAAGCTGTGCTTTCTGGTGCATTTAAAATGCAATGTGTATTCAGAATAAATACTTATTTGCTTTATTAATTGAAAACATTATTGGGAAGCTAAATATCAATAACAAGAGTGCAATAAGCAGTTCAAAGTTTTGAAAAATGCTGGCAAACTCTTAAGGGCTAATTGTTCTAAAAAATAAGTTTACAAAAAAAAAATAGTGCAAGATCCTTTTTTGAATGCTGTTGTGTTTTTATATTTTACTGGGAAAACATTTGGCAAGCATCACATCTAATGGCTTGCTTCTTTATTCTGCACTGTTCTATGTTGCGTAAATACAGAATATACCAGGAATCAGACATGGGAAGCATATGGGATTTGCCTGGGGTCCTGGAGATATGCTTGTTTATGAGACACATTTTAAACCATCAGGTAAGTTTGTATAATGTCCTCTTAAAAAAAAAAAGTTATACACCACTTTGATTTTTTCATTTTCTTTTTGCATATTACCACGTTAAAATAATTGTCTTAGGATTTTATGTAATTGACCAATTCAAAGTTGGTCAGAAACGTGAAGTAAAAAAGGATACAAATTTAAAAGTGTAGCCTGCGTTTTTATTCCACCAAGTTAGTACTTTATTTATTCCCTTTTAACCACATCTGGATCTGCATCCGAAAATCTTTGGGGGGTGTGACGCTAAAAGCACTTCATTCCAGTTTGTGGCACTACATTTTATTTAACAGTATAAGATTTGAGGGCCTGAATGCAAATCTATGCTACACTTTTCATACTTTTATTTGCAAAGGATGCTGAAAACCATGTGTGCTTTTCATTTACAACTATACACGAATTTGTGTTAACATGCCATATAACATAAATGGACGTTTGTGATTGTACCCCTGTCAAAGTGTGTAAAACTTAATGGGTTATCACTAATTTTTCAAGGCACTGTAAAGCCATGCTTCTCCGTAGGTTTTCACACTCTTGCTTGTTTTCTTACCACTTTGGGTCCTGTCCTTCAGGTTTGACACCGTCAGGCCCAGGTGGCTCCTTCATCCACAAAGTCAGGAAAGATGAGGACATAAATTCTCCTATTTTACGCAAACTGTTTAATGAGTCGCATCACATCTTTGTTGGACTGCAGACAATCAAAGATGACCTCCCCAGCAAGAGCAAAAGACCCCAGTACGTGCCTTACAGATTTTTTCTACATAGCTATTTAGTCCTCTCTCAATGTAGACAGAGTCAAAAAACATAAGTAATTGTTTGATGTGCAATCTAAAGTATGAAACCCATCTGTCACGCTCTATAGATTCGTCAGCATCAGTAGAAACTACAGATCTGTGATTCGGGCTTGTATGGAGGAGCTTCAGCAAGTTGCAGGTAAGATATTGTAAATATATTTTTAAAACAGTTTTACCTATAGTGCGTGTTTTCCTGAGGCTCGCCAACTGGATTTTTTCTTTTTGCAGTTTCTACAAGAGATACAGAAATGGGCACACAATATGGAAATCAGGCATGTATCAGCTGCATTTGTAGCCTGGATATATAGTGGGTTGTTGCATTAGGGGTTGTTCAAATGTTCATTTTCTCTTTTAAGAAAAAGAAACTGGGTTTTAGTTTCGCAAATGAAAACTTTTTACTTCAAAAACTGTGAAGTATGGTGGTGGCAGCATCATGTTGAAGCCGTGTTTTGCTGCTGATGTGAAAAATGTTTGTGTGATGAAAGTGGCTTATAAATCTGCCCCAATTACATCAGCTCTGGAGGGATGGACCAGAATTCAAGCCAACTAGAAGGAAGGAGTTTCAAAATGTTTGAGACACAAACATGTGTTATCATGTTCTGGCATTTTGCAAGTAGAAATGACAGATAATCTTAACTGACCAAAAGCAGGAAATTTGACTTGTGTTGTTAGACAGATGCTAACACTTGGCTTTCACATATTACCTCCTCTCAGGTGTTGATGTTTTTGATTTCATTCATCTAACCTCTGCTTTTTTTTGTGTCATTCTTATCACAGGTTTCTATTCTTTTGGCCATTGAACTGATCTGGAATCTGTGTGAAGTGCTTTTTATCGATGCTGCTCCTGGTGGGTCTAATTTCTATTCCTAATCTCTTTTTTTTTTTTTTTTTTTTTTGTCGTGAAATAACATGTTCCACTGTTTGCTCATTCCCAGCTGGCTCTCTCTTGCTTCATCTTCTGGACTGGGTGAGATTACACAAGGCTGATGTTGACGAGAAGGCCAAGGATGTGCTGCAGAGCGACAGTCCTGCAGAGCACCACAACTACTGGGATGTGGTACGTACAGAACCAACTCTACCAGGTCTGATTTCGCTTATTGCTTCAAGGTGTGGTGATTTTCTTTCATATAGCTAGAAAACTTATTTTACTCTTTTCTAAAACAAACAAAAAAAATAGCAGAGTCAAATTGCAATTATCACATATTGTGTGTGCAGGTGGTGAGTTACGTTCTGCAGGGCAGGCTGGAAGAAGCCAGACAGATGCTGGTCAAACAGGCCACACTGCAGCCAGCCTCCAGGAACATGTACAAGCTGATGGATGGCTTACTCAGCAAAATGCCTTTTTACAACGTAAGTACACTATGATATACTCTACGTTGTGTATAACACTAGGAATAGTGCCACTTTCCCAGTGAGGAGTATAAGTGTGAGGCGTGTATGTGTGTGTGTGTTTGTTTTTGCCCTTCAGTGAACCTTCATCCTGTCCTTTGTTTCCTGCCTGTTGGCTAATAACGTTTCCTGCTTTCAGTTCTTTCTGAACCTGAACAGGGTGGTGTAAAGAATAAACTCGGTTGTATTCTTCAGCAAAATTCCTGTTGGTGTCAGAAATACGAGGAGCTTATTGTTAATTTTCGCTTCTTCCTATCAGTAAAACGGATGTCATTGCATAAACCAATTCATTTTCCGTAATGTTGCCTTCAGCCTGGCGGCTCACAGACACTAACAGAGTTTGATGTGAAGTGGAGGAACTGGCACGAGGAGGTGGACCGCTACCTCAAGGACAACACGTTTGCCAGCAACCGCCACCTGGAGCTCATCTGCAAGGTCAGAGTGCGCATGTCGGGCCTTTTTACTCGGATCCCTCAGTAATGGTTGTTAAAATACTCTCAGAAATTAGATTATTGGCTGTTTTTGAGATGACATATTCAGATAATTTAACAATATTCACATCTGTGCCCCTGAGTTCTTTGTTTCCTCCATTTGTCAAGACATTTTTCATCCGTTCTCATAATGATTGGTCACTTTCTTAGATCCTGGTGGGTGATGAAGACACTCTGTTGGAGCAGAAGGAGCTGCTAGGCACCTGGTATCACTTCCTTGTGACTCGGCTGCTCTACAGCCACCCCACAGTGAAACCGACGGACTTGCATTACTACGCACAGGTACAGCCTGTTGTACGCAGCTTGGCACGGTTTCTCCCTGCCGGCGTGTGCTTGTTTCATGGTACTTGTGTGTTTGCGGTCGCTGCAGTCGTGCCTGACGATGTTCCTGGACTCGAGGAGCGTCCAGGAGCCTCTGGACAGCATCCTACTGGCCGCCTTTGAGTTTGACATCTATCTGGTCATCAAGGACTGCAGGTGAGAGAATGAGATGATGATATCGATTTACAGAACTTAACCAAACCGTTCAGAAGTTTGACTTTTCTTTTAACGTCTTGTTTTCCCTCAGCATTGTTCTCAACAACTGGTGGTTTGTGGCTCATTTGACAGACCTGCTGGATCACTGCAAACTCCTCCAGTCTCATAATCTAAAGTACGGATGCTTGATGGTGTGAAATTGTTTCGGAGATGACAAGTTTACACACATTATTGGTCTAATATTAGGATGCGCTTCTGTTTGTGTTCAGCTTCGGGTCCAATATGAGGGAGTTCCTCCTGTTAGAGTATGCCTCAGGTTTATTCACTCATCACAGGTATGTGTAGGCTCAACCTTAAAGTTCATACGCCTCTTCCACTTCCTCTCATTTCTTTCCTCCCTACCTCCTTTCTTCACATAACACATAAGAGTTTTTTTTTTATATATATTTCAAATGTCCATCTCTACCCTGAAAGTCTTTGGCAGT